CTCTAGCACAAAGCATAGTCTTTACAACAACCCCACCCCCCTGGAATTTAACCAGGCTACCCCAAATGCATACCAGATGATAGCCCTGTGTCTGTGCAACAACATGACACTTAGTTTGACGGAAGCCCCCCTCAAAAGATATTATCTGGGCCAACGGGGGCAACAGCCCGTCCCTACGGGACGGACTGTTGCCCCCCTCGTGCAAATTTTCTGGAATTTGCGCTGATTTCTGTCACTTCCAGGAAGTTATTTGAAGCCCATGGTTAAGAGGTGAGGGTGGTTAGTCCTGAAGAGCGAGATTGTTATTTTTACACTAAAAGTATCAGGGCTTTAAGCAAATTAAGTTTTGAAAGATGGCCTGCAATGTGCTGGACTTGACTTAAGATTTCAGGCAACCCGGTTTTCAAAACTGCAGGTAGATTTATATTGCGCAAAATACATGTAAATATGATCAAATGCGCATTACATGAAAGTAAATTGTCAACATTAATAAGTTATCCAAAAAGACTAAAAATATTTTATAAAAAAAACAATGGATCTATCAAAATATAATATATACATAATCCTTAAAAAAAAATCCTAATAAAAAGCTAATCTAAAAAAACGGATCTTAAGTAAACCTTTAAACCTATTAAAATTGGACTCATTTCGTATTTGTGATGGTAACCCATTCCACAGTTTAGGTGCCGCAGCTAAAAAAAGCACGGTCACCCAATGTCTTTTTAGTTAAAGTTCTTGGCGTTTGAAGCATGATTCCCATTGCACACGATCTTAAATTGTATCTCTCTTCCTCCCTTTTGCTAATGAGTTCTTGTAGATATACCAGTGCTTGTCCATGGATCGCTTTAAAAGTAATTATAATAATCTTAAAATGAATCCTAAATTCTACTGGAAGCCAATAAAGCGTACACAGAATTGGTGAGATGCGATAAAACCTTGGAATCTTAAAAATAAGTCTTGCTGCGGAATTTGTCTGGAGCCGTTGTAACTTTGCTATTTGTTTAGCTGGTAACCCATACAGAATACTATTACAATAGTCAATGCGCCCAATCATTAGGGCATGAACAAGTGTCTGGGTTGCTTGGTTACTTAAATACTTTCTTATTGTCTTACATTTGTAATGTACTAATAGGCTGCTTTACACGTGTTATTGATAGTAACTTGAAGACTAAATAATTGATATTAACTTGAAGACTAAATAACGAACACTTAAAGAAACAATTTTTCAAGGTCATACGAAAATTGCTCTATAAATGAGTACTATAGGTATTTAGGTATTATATTTATCCACATTACACGGATGAGTACAAGACTCGTTTAAACGTGAACGTGCAAAAATTACAATAATCCAGTATATATTAAAACGAAAGAAAAAAATCAATAATGAAGTAAATAAGAAACTAAAATAAGAAAAATAAAATCAAAATAAGAATAGACGAAGATCAATAACACTAAGAAAAATCTAGCGATGTAAAAATCTAAACTAGATGTTTGTTTGGCTATTGTGACTGTGAGATGACTTGAACCGAGGGTGATTGGTACTTGACAATTACTGAACTTTGTCGCCGAACAACGGAGGCATCGAAAATGAGCAATAAAACCGAATCAATAGATCAAAAATCTCAAAAACGAATTTGTGTCTCGATTTGCATTCCGATAGTTGTTTTCGCTTTTTGCTTCGTTGTTTGGAGGCCCATTCTGGTTCCTTACTCGTACAAATTTGTGAACATAGTTTCTTTCCACATCATCAATGATAAACAGAAGAGTTTGGACAACGAATTGCTGCTTGCTCGCAAAGAATGGAAGTTCTATCAACTGGAAAGACGTTTTCGCCAACGGTGGTGTAAAGAGACTAACGTCAGGTCTCGAAAAAATGTAGCCTGGCTAACCGTTATGGTTAATAATGACTTTGTCGTTCCCGCTTTGGTTCTCGGTAATTCCATTCGAACATTTTCTTGTCACACGAATATGATTGCGCTAATTTCAAAAGATGTCAGTGAGAATACGAGAAAGGCGCTTCAGAGCGTCGGCTGGAAGACTCGTTTGGTCGAAGAAATGCATTGTGACAGGATGGATGCTAAGGTTGGTGGAGATCGAAATAGCGGACTTTTCGGAAGACCTCTAGGACACAGAATTAAGGGAACACACACAAGATTTCACGCGTGGAACTACACAGACTTTTCCAAAATGATTTATGTTGATGCTGATTACATGCTGATATCTAACATCGACGAACTCTTTGAGATTCCAGAACACTTTGCCGCCGCCCCTTGCTCCAGACCTGGTGTTTTGGATCCTTGTTTCAANAGACTCGTTTGGTCGAAGAAATGCATTGTGACAGGATGGATGCTAAGGTTGGTGGAGATCGAAATAGCGGACTTTTCGGAAGACCTCTAGGACACAGAATTAAGGGAACACACACAAGATTTCACGCGTGGAACTACACAGACTTTTCCAAAATGATTTATGTTGATGCTGATTACATGCTGATATCTAACATCGACGAACTCTTTGAGATTCCAGAACACTTTGCCGCCGCCCCTTGCTCCAGACCTGGTGTTTTGGATCCTTGTTTCAACGCAGGGCTTCTTGTGTTCAAGAGAGATTTGAAAACCTACCAAGAAATCATGAAACAATGGCGGGAGACAACAGAAAAAGACACCTGCCCAACGGATCAGGAATTGCTCAATGAGTTTTATGCAGACAGTGGCTGGAAAGAACTTCCGTATGCATACAACATCAGGCGGATAATCTTTCGGCCCATGATGTCATTCCACTATGCCTGCTGTCGACCTCCAAAGCCATGGACGTCAGAATGTCGTCCAAGTAGAAAGGAGGCGAGTAAGTTTGACGGTCCCATCATAACTGTCGATGATATGACGTTACTTTTCTGGAAAAATTTCTATGAACTTATTCAGCAGTACAACTTAGAAAACTGGTGGAACAACAACGTCCTTCACACGCCAAAACGTCATCAACTTTCAGGAGGCTTGCTTAGCGAATAATTACATTTAGCCATTGTGAATATGCTTAAATACTTTGTCAGATTTGTTTTACTTCACACTGTCAAGACGCCTTCAGAATTTCTTGATTATATTGTGCAAGAGCTTCTTTTTTTTTACCTGCTATCCAGGCTATCTAAGATATATGTTTACAGTCCGGTCTACATCCTATAGTCTACACGGCAATTATGTTTTGTCTCTACCGTCTCTAAAAATTACTACTTATGGTCTTCAATCCTTTTCGTGCATGGTTTCAAAACTATGGAACTCTCCTCCGGATTTTTTTCGAATTTATAACTTTTCGGATTTCAAGCGCAAGATACTACAGTATATGACTCCTTTTAGTAGTTTAAAATTTTAGAATGTTGTTAATTTCGCAATTTTGGTAGTATTTAGAACTATACTTGAACTCGAAGATACTAGTTCATCTTTAGCTACTCTAAATTCGAGATTAAATAAAGTATATGTAAGTATGTAAGTGTTAATAATCACAGGAGTTCAGGCTTCAGGAGTAATCATTGATCGTTTATTGCGACAGTGCTGTTTCGTATGGTCCGAAATTGTAGGACCACACTCATCAGGCAACTTCAACGATCAATGATTACTCCTGAAGCCTGAACTCCTGTGATTATTAATAGTCTATGCTCTTCAATTAAATGAATTGAGCGCTCTACGAAATACGTTCTACCCAGAATACAAGTATGTAAGTATGTATGTAGGTTTCCCTAGTCTACACTTAATCTCTAACCATTTGAAGATGATAGCCTGGAAAATGATTCCCTATTCTATACCAAACTCTCTGATTCATATACCCTATTCCAGAGTTAACTGGGAAAACTATACCCTTCACAGCGGTACATACCTACAAAGCTCATATATGGCAGTAACCCCCCCCATTTCAGTGGTAGTGCATCGTCTTATTACCACAGCTCTGTTTCGTGCGGCCAAAAGATGACCACACTCATCAGATAATATCATCGACTGACCGTTAGATTACAACAACTGGCAAAAAAGCAGAAATACGGTTGCTATGAGATATATAAAAACAGCGTTATTTCACCATATAAATCATGTGATTGCTATTTATAATTTTGGAGATTGTATTACTTTATCATAAAGTACTTGAGGAGGTATCTAATTCTGTGGGGGCATGAACTTGCTGACTCGTTTCGCTTGTTCAGATTGCAGAGATCTTTTTAACAGATGATTATGAATTTTTCAAAAAGACATGAATTACATTTCTTAGTAATGTTGTTGTAAGATTTGCACTGTTTAATGATTTTCCACTTTAGGTTCAAAGGCTTTTTGTTGTCTTTGAGTGTCCATATGTGCTTTGATAATTCAGTTTCGTGCCTCTTGTTTTGATGTCGGAAGGAAGATGCGTGGTTTCTGTAACGTTCTTTGAACTTTACCTCTATGAGTTGAGCGCTCTCTGAAATACACTCAAATCAAGTTCAAGAAAATGTAAATACATACATCGTTGAAGTTGCCTGATGAGTGTGGTCCTATAATTTCGGACCATACGAAACAGCACTGTCGCAATAAACGAAGCCTGAACTCCTGTGAAGTTGTGTATGTATGGGTGTGTGTATGTGTATGTATGTGTGTACATTTTAATATTTTCACCTCGTATGTGTAGTACAAGTATGCAATTTAGTTGTGAACGTAACAGCGTAAACAGTGTTTAAACTCCACTTAACTGAGACTTTTATTATGGGTAATATTCCTTAGTGCAGCTACTGCTTGAGATGTGATGGAATGCTTCACAGCTTTTTGGAGACCTAGCTGAAATTCTAGCTTTCAAGTTCCCATCCGAAAACGTTTTATTACTATTATTATTATTATTATTAGGAGAGATCTTTCACATAACTGCAACACCATATGCTAATATGTCACAATAGTAGAAAGATCCACAAAATATGTAAATGATCTTTTCGACGCACGGGTAAGCTTTTTGTTTTCTTTCCCTGGTAATCCCTGTGCGGCCTCGAGGCATTTGTAGGGCAGCGCAGCGCGATTTTTTTTACCGGCGAGTCGAAGATTGTAGAAGAAGTTAAAACAAAACCTGGCCGGAGCTTCAAAAGATACTTTAAGCAGACCGAAAATGCACTTCTTTTTTGCGAACGCTTTAAGACGCTAACATGTTCCCAATTTTCCTCTGACATTCTTTTCGAACCTCGACGGCATCTCACATACGTAGACATTATTTTTAAGACTGAAGGATCGAAAAAATTCAATTTTTGGAAAGATTTTTATTTCGCGTTATCTACAAAATTACTTGTTACAGAGACAAGCAACTCACGTGTGTCTGATATATCAATATCGGTCATCATACATCATCAAACACTGACCGGCTTGAAATTTTACTCTGAAGAACGAAAGTATCAGGGCATACTATCGTTATATCCCAAGACAATCATCGATAAAAAGGATTACACGAATTGTTCCCAAAGCCTCCAAAAAGTTAAACAACTGACTGCCACGACAAGTAGAAGCAAGACGGCGATGTCACAGACTATTGTGGATAACAGGATGCGATACGCGAAGAAGTTACCAGAAAAGCGAAACCCGCGAAATTTAGCCAGGCAGCATGTCTGAAAGAAGATACATGTAGTTCAGGCACCAATGCCAATGCTGATCTCCCAGGGGAAGCCACCCCGCACCGGCTGAGCGAAAACAGCAACAACCTAAGAAAAAGTGCTCCAGGTAGCGACAGCGGACATCGCAGGAGGGCTACATAGCGCACAAAGAGATGTGTGGCAAGGCTGTGAAAATGATGAGCGAAATAGAACGCACCTTAGATAAATTCGATAGCGACAGTAGCGACGAGGACTAAACATGCGAAATATTGAACTGCCAATTTCCTTTTGTTCGTTTTTTTCAGTTGATAGTATTTGTAAGCGAAAACTCTGAAAATAAAAGGCTTTTTGTCACACAATACGTCTTTTATTTGATGGTTCTATTCGTGCCTGCCGCAAATAAAGGAAACGTGGATCTTGTTTACTGTGGGTAATGTCGACCGAGATATCGGTCAACATAGCGGTCGATATAGCGGTCGACAGTCGGTCGATAGTCGGTCGACAGTCGGTCGATAGTCGGTCGATAGTCGGTCGATAGTCGGTCGATGGTCGGTCGATAGTCGGTCGATGGTCGGTCGATAGTTGGTCGATAGTCGGTCGATAGTCGGTCGATAGTCGGTCGATAGTGAGATAGACTATCGACCGAGTATCGGTCGATATTTCGACGACGCACCTCGACTTGCTATCGGTCATATGTCGGTGATATATCGGTCAACTGTCGGTGGTATATCAGTCAACTGTCGGTGGTATATCGGTGAACTGTCGGTGGTATATCGGTCAACTGTCGGTGGTATATCGGTTAACTGTCGTTCGAATATCAGTCGTGTGTTAATTTATCAGGTGAGTCCAATGGCTTTTTTTTTAAGCAAAGACGTCATTAATTACTGTTCATGACATGCTTTAAGAGCGAGGAATACACATCTTTTATTATCGGGCTTTGACCTGCTTCATCACGCCAAGTTCTCGCTTGTGCAGAGACCACAAATTAAACTTATATATTTCTGTATTGAAGACGGGAACAGTCCTTTGTTTAATGATCAGTTATTGATAAAACGCGCTGATAATGTGCCGAGGAAGGTGACAAAAATATCCAGCAGACTGAACACATTCATTTATTGTGGGATACGCTACGTTCTCATTACATTATCCTGTCCTTTTGCTCTGTCCTTTCGCTTTATATTTATATTTTGTTCAAAATAGAGACGACCATGCGTATACAGAAATTAATATTGAATGGTAAGTCACTTTTGGTCATCCACGAAA